TCTATGAAATGCTGTGATTTGTTCAAAATATGGTATTTTTCGCTACTATTAAAATAAAATGCTTATAACTCTTGAAGGATTGAACGAGAGCACGAATGGTTTTCAGATTCGTAATCAGCATCCTTAAATTAGCAAAGTGGGGTACATTGCTTTGAAATCTAGGGAAACACCTGGGGACCTTCCCTCGTAAGGAGGATAAATTTAATTTAATACTTGGTTCTTGTCCAGCAACATTCAAGAACCCAGTTATCTTAGGCATCTTGAATCATTGAGTGCTTTTAGTTATTTACTTACTGTTATTAAGTCATGGTTCACAAAAAGCTAATTCTAGGATAATTGACTCTAGTAGTTCGATCGCTTTCATGCTGATATATATTCTATATATGTATTTTGTGAGGGTCCGAACTTGATCTAAGTTTAGACATGGATTTAGATTAAGACCGACTTAAATTTCCTTTGTGACACGTTCTAAGTCAAGGTACTTACGTATGTCTTAGTTGAAGTTTAAACTTAAGCACAGACTTAAGTGAGCAACTTAAGCAATTTTATGATATGGCGTCAGTTTTTATCTTGCGCTTCAATTGTGAATTTTATCGAGGGCTCTAATTTATTCATAAATTTTTTAAATGAGTAGAGCTCTTTCTGAGTTCCGTACATAATCATAAAAATATCGTCCACGTAACGGTAATACAGATCAGGCTTGGTACCACGATATTCAATAATTTTCTCTTCTAAATTACTCATAAACAAATGTGCAAGTATGGGTGCCAAAGGACTACTCATACTAACACCGTTCTGCTAGTCGTAATTTTCATTATTAAATTTAAAATTAGTTGTTTTAGTACAGTAGTAGAACAGCTCTTTCAAATTCGTATCATCAATAGGTAGAAGAGGATGATATTTTCTGATCTTTTCAATAGCAATAGGAATAGCTTTCTCTAAGGGCACATTGGTAAACAATGATGAAACGTCCAGAGAGCAGAGTAAACCTGGCATTTGTTTATTGTTTTGAATTTTATCCACGAAGTCGAATGTATCTTTCACATAAGACGGTGCATCTCTGAGAGCTGGTGTTAAGAGATTGGCTAAGTATTTTGCTGTGTTATAATTATAAGAGTCGTAACTTGATATAATAGGTCTTAAAGGCAGATTATTCTTGTGAACCTTTACAAGAAAATAAGCTTCTGGAGTTCTACTGCCTGTTCTTGGTCTCATAATCTTATAATGATCCTCAGTAATCAGTTTGTTTCTCTTTAATTCCAGTAGAAAATTAATAAATTCATGCTCTCGTTTGATTGTCAAATTAGAATTCAATTTTTTAAAAGCACTTTGGTCATTCAATAATTCTTGAGCTTTTGATAAATAATCATCTTTGTTTAACACCACGATCGCGTTCCCTTTATCCACTTTCGATATTACTAAATTAGAATCTTTAGATAAAGTAATAGCTTCAGTTTCTTCTTTGGAAAGATTGCTAATCGCATGTTTCAGTATTTTCTCAGTGTTCAAACCAAAGTCATTCAAGAGTCCTTTGATTTTAGTAGCTGTACCAGGACCTTTCAATAAACCATAATGTTGAAGACTATTGTACATATACTCTAAATTACATTTCATGTTCAGTACGTTCAATTTCTTAACTGTGACAGCGTATTTCCAGCCTTTACTTAGCAAAGATTCTTCAGCAGGAGTTAAAACACGATACGAAAAGTTGTAGACTAACTTATTGTTAAATCCATCTGATTTCACTGGTATTTTCAAAGATAAAAGTTTTTTCTCATGTCTTTCTTTAATAACATTTCTTTCTTTATCAATCAATCGAGTGAGGTGTAATGCAGTTCTAGTCCATAGAAATATATTAATTTGATTTCTCAATTGGGATTCAGAGTCATTTACAACTACTGTTGTTTTCTTAAGCTGTTTCTGTTGTTCTTTATAATGATCGAATAACATTTTTCTCCTATATTCTTTATACTTAGGACTTTTACCAAACTCTCTACTATAAGGCTTAAATCGAACGAATTTTAGTTAAACATTGTATAAGAGACAAACACGTATAAACTCGATAGCCTGTCCTAATCTACACAGTTTTTTCTCATTGAACTATTTTTTACTTTTGTGTAGTTATGCGCAGATTGTTGTCTCATGTTATTTTTTCTTACATCTTGTCTGAAAATAACCTTTTTCTCTGAAATTTTGTTTTGTTTGAAATTGTTTTCTTTGTTGAGGAAATTTGGAAGGAAACATGACGTAATATTAATAATCATAAGGTATAATTATAAAATATATGTCCAAAACTGATTTGATTAAGAAACAGCAGGAACAGTTTTGTCAAGTCCCCAACTGGTGTCTGATGGAACAAAATAACTTTGAAAGACTGTAGCACAAAAGAGATTGATTCATATTTAGCCAAACAAGTTTACTCCTCTCTTTCATAAACGATCTGCATTATTCAACTTAAAAGCAGCACCATTTCTAGATAATTTCTATCATTTTGAGGTACCAAAGACTTGCAAGAAATGAATCAGTATATTTCAGATTTCTTTCCGACAAATGTGCTTTTATATGCTTTTAGATATCTGCGATGTGCTTTTATATGCTTTTAAATATCCTCAGATACCTTTTCTTTTTGATCGTATATCTTCTATAGATGACAATTTACTGCCGCACACGACCACGTGAGTGAACGAACTTTTTTTATTCTGTTTCTTCTTTTTGCTGTGTCAGAAATAGGCATGCAACGGCAGCGGTAGTTTACCGGTTTCCCGTAACCGGTACTGCCGTTACCATTCTACCGCTACCGTTCTACCGTTACTGTTCTACTACCGTTGTCGATTCACAGGTTTTGTCGTTCATTGCAGATAGATAGTATCGATTCTAGAGAGAGTGGAATTCTGTAGAGCAATCAATAGAAAGAAAGTCTCTGGATATTAACTCTTACCAATAAGAGCAATACATTCACCACGGCTGATATCCAATTCAAATTTATTCAACACTACTACTTCTGATTGAGTCGGATAGCGAAACTGGATAAGATCAAATTTCATATTACCATTAAAATTTTGCTGAAACGTACGATAAGATAGTTCTAATCTATGCATATTCTTATTTAAACAATTTTTCATAAAAGACATACAATTTCTTTTCCATGTGTTAAACAATTATCAATCGATGGTTGTCGTTCAATTAAATCGAAAGAGCTTTGTGCAGCTGATATAGATTTACCGATTTCTATTACCCTGAATATAAGAAAATAAAGTAAACGAAAGGTTTTCTTTGATACTGTTCGTTTTACAAGGCGTCAGTTTTAAAACTCACAAGGAGAAAATCACTTGAGATGGTTGTATGGAAAATTGAATATTGCCCTTAGAAAGATAGGCAAAATAAGATAGATATATTACTTCTGACGATTCGTTTTACATCATTATATCTTCACTTTTAATTTGTTCATGTTCAACTAATCCAATGATACTTGTACTTGTACTTATGGGATGTGGCGTGTTATGATCTGCTAAGAGAAATTCAGAAGGATTCAATTGGGGGTGTAGCTCATATGGTAGAGCGTGCGCTTTGCATGCGCAAGGCACGGGGATCGATGCCCCGCACCTCCATTCTTTTTCTTTTTACTTCAATAAATCTTTTAACGCAGAAGTTACATAAAAATGAAAAAGTGTATGAAACTTGTAAAAAGTGATTCATAAATGTGTAAAGTAGTTAACACTAACTTTTTCTTACTCAGCTCGATGTAAACTGTTCACCCTCTATCTAACCATGTATAAATATATGCAAAAGAAAAAGCCATGGAAACTTCGAATTACGGGCACCTCATATCTATTATGATAAGGAATACATTGAAGTAAAAAGAAAAAGAATGGAGGTGCGGGGCATCGATCCCCGTGCCTTGCGCATGCAAAGCGCACGCTCTACCATATGAGCTACACCCCCAATTGAATCCTTCTGAATGTCTCCTAGCAGATCATAACACGCCACATCCCATAAGTACAAGCGCTATAGGACTTGCACTTATGGGTCCTGTAGTCCATAGTTGGTTCACTAAAAGGGTAATTAGTTTGCGTTAAATTATGTTTAGCTATTCGTTGACTAAGTCGTAAACAGTTATTTTTTTCGAGATGCGCCCATGTGAGATAGTTTTGTTACTCTTATTTTTATTTTTATTAATCACAGTCCTTTAACGGTACATGTTAGAAATTAAATGTAATTCTGCTTTTTGAACGTCTTTTTCATGCTCTATTCTTGTACGATATGTTTGTCCAATGCTCTTACCGATGCAGTCATCATCCTAATCATTGTTTACAATTTGTTGAATGGATAACATCAGCACCAAAAAACATATACTTATTAGCTTTTAAGTTTTTAAGTTTTAATGCCGAACCCGGATTCGTCCGTGTATTGATGCCACCTAACTTTTCATTGACCTTTTCCAACAAATTTTCACACAATTGCTCATGATTTTGTCCACCTTTAAATGACTGTTCGTTTAATTTATCAAATAATAAACATTGTGTTGGCATACCTAGAACAACAAAAATAGTCGGATCATTACCAGGCATGGTCAACAGACATTTTCATTTCAGAATCATGAGAACTGTTCAAATACTACAAAAGAAAAGACTCAACATATATAGTTTCTCACCCGATTTGGCTGTCTACGAGGGAACGTTCCCAATGTCCCCTCGTTTTTTTAACGAAATGCAGTAGGTTATAGATATTCGACCATGCTGACTGTCTTTACGACAACTTCATCTTCCGCATGAAGTTGGTGTATCTTCACGAGAAGTTCATCTTTTTCCCTCAATAACTTACTATTTCTGCACGGCAACTTCATCTTTTTTTCTCAGCGACTTCGTGTGTCTTCTCGAGAACTTCAAGTTTCTTGCTGAAGTAGTTGGTGTTACTTCACGAGAGCTTCATCTTTGTTCCGCAATAACATGATGTAAAAAAAAGGAAAGTGTAGCTTAGTATCATACGCGTGTTAGCGGGAAAAGAGAAATTTACAGTTTAAAATAAGAAGAGATGACAGCCGCTAAAATGGAACTAAGTAAGAAACTAAAATTGTGCGAACGAACACAAAATACGACACCTTGGTGCTATATACCCCGAAATTATAAAACCTTCGCGTTTACAAGTACTAAAAAATTTTAGTAACTTCCACAAAAATTTCTAGTCTACAAAATCAAACTTCGTTTGCCTTCCGAAAATTGACAAGTCCTAGGATGTTTTCACAAAAAGGGCGCAGACCACTTTTTCTTTTATGTCTAATTCCTGTTGGCGACATAATTTAAATCTTCTCAGCCATTATCCGTCTCAACTCAACGAAACTCATTATTTAAAGAAACAAAATAAGTTTTTTTTGTGCTAAATGTCAAGGCGCATTTTTAGATGAAAAAAGTTGACTAAAACCACCAATATCTTATTCGGTATATATGACATCCAACTCTACTGTGGTACGCTTACTTTAGCCGACATCTAGCGCGCTCAAAATATTGAAACAATAGCGAGCTCTGTCAAACGATGTTTCGTTCTTCTATCAGTACTTCATTTCACTATTTTCACCTTGTATTTATATACTCTGCAAATATGACCAGTTGATAAAAAAGAGATTCACATATATCATCTTTCATAATTCTTATTCTTATTTGACACTGACGATGGTTAAAAAGATTCTAATTACCGGTGCATCCGGTCTTATTGGTGGTATACTAGTTAAACATTTATCAAAAAATCCCAACTATGATATTTATGGTATGGATAAACATACTAAATTATCCATACGTTAGCAACTCGAAAATACACCAGTAGCAGAAGAACAACAACCAATCTTACCAAAAGAAAAATTTTATGTATGTGATATTACCGATAAAAATCAACTTTCACGTATTATCCAAGATAATCAAATAAATATTATTATTCATTTAGCGGCCGTTTTAGAAACAGAAACGACTGAAAAAATTAATCATATTAATTGTTATGGTACTGACATTCTATTTGATATAGCAATAAAACAAGAGCATGTTGAAATGATTATTTATGGTAGTTCATTAATGACTGTTTTTGGCTATTTAGAAAATGAACCCTATTCATCATTAGCAAAAAATATTCAACCAAAACAATTATTAAAAAAGATAACAATCAATGATCCACCAATACCATCACATGTAAATCCATCTTCTGAAGCATATATTAAAAGTAAAATATACGGTGAAGGTCTAGCTAGACAGTATTCATCAACTGATGGGATAAATGTTAAATTTATTTGTGCAAGGTTAGGTGGGATAAATACAACTGATGATATAACCTCTGATTTGTATGATTGGTCATATAGGGCAACATGGTGTAGTCATTGTGATTTATGTCAATTTATTGATCGAGTATTAGAAAATCAATTGATATTGAAACAATTTCAAATTTATTTTGTTTGTTCAAATAATGATTTTTGTTGGGTTGACATGGATAATGGCCGAGAAGATTTAAATTTTGTACCTCAAGATGGTGCTAAATGGAATTAGACATAAAAGAAAATGTGGTCTGCACCCTTTTCTTTTTCATTATACTTTAAAAAATAGGGGCCAGTAAACAAAAAATCTGTTTTTCAATGTCACTGAAAATAGTGCAAATTACACTTTTTTGTAACCATTGATAACAATCCACAGGTGTCGAAAAGAGAGAAATGAAAAAAATGATCTTTCAGCTTGAATATAGATGAATATAGATAAACTAGTCAAAGTTTAGAGCTACTGATGATACAATTTTTATTTCCATCTATGACGGACACTACTGCGACGGAACTTTGCACCACAATAGTGCCGTGTTTTCACGGTAAACGGCAGTATACAGATTGTGTAATATACACAATTTCTCTACACTTTGGCATATATAGATTACCTAATATTCTCAAGCATTGATTTTTAATTGAAGGTAGATACTTCAGACCGTACAGAAAAAATGTCAACTGTTTTGTGTTTTCTCTGTCTTAGATGACTCATTTCAAGAAAATTTAAACTTTCACAAAAACTTGATATTAAGAAATCACATGAACTCTATCAAACATTTACAAGGCCTCCGAAGTTCAGAGATGGCACCAGTAACTTAACATTAAATAACAGCTAACGAATGAATCAATTACCAATGTAGTGATTCTTCTCAAAATTCACTATTTGAACAATTCATCTAGTACTGAATAGAAGAGAAAAAAGGTACAAAAGTAAAAAGATAGGGTATTTTTTCAGCGTAACTTAACAAACTTTCAGAAGTTCTTATCTCCGCAACGGAAGGCCTTGGACAGGTAGGAGTGGTCTTATTTTGTAGAGGACATCTTACTCTAGAATGCACAATGTTTAACTAAAAAATTAGAAGAAATTCTAAAAAGAGAGGGTTTACCTCTAATTTTCTCTGACGGTGCATATTCGGATTCGATAGTATAAGTACTTAATTAAACAGTGGTGTTTAGGTAATAAAGAAAACTTTGGTTTAGACGATTTTCGATCAAGAAGAGGGAAAGATTTTATATTAGAATTATATGATAATTATAATAGTTTAGGAGCAATAATTACACGTAAATGTGGTTCGAATTTCTCATTTGCGAAAACGGATAATAAATTTTAATTGTCAAATTTTTATTAACATATAAAAAAGTTGAATTGTTCATTAATGAAAGAATTTGTCAAGAAAGATGATAAACAAAAAAGAACTAATGTCGAAACATTGTCATCACCGACGCTACCAGTACAATCTCAACCATTAGTTCAAATAATAATGAATCCTACAGTTAGTTGCACCATCTTCATCCACAAGTAGTACATGAACAATAGTACCAACGAAAAACAATCCTAAGCGCTCTGCACCAGCATCAAGTATATCAACGCGATCATCAAAGCGGAGAAAACTATAATTATTACTTCTCTTATCATTCATTTATCATTAGTTTTATCTTTTCTATTTTATTGTATTATTATGAAATTATACTTCTTTCATTTATAACGTCTCATATTATTTATCGTGCTCAAAGAGTTGAAAGCATTGATGATAAAGGAAATTTTTTTAATCTTATCATCACAAAATCATTGTTAAATGATAGTGTGAGCAAAGTTTTGATCATATATTAAAAATGTGTCAATTTCTTTTAGTTGTTACCAGAAAATGTAGAAGACTATAGGGAATATTTAAAAGAAACTGATCGTCTTGATGAATGTCCTCAGTTAAGGTTCAGCTAATGCAAAATTCAAGTGGAATTTTGTTTTGACTTTATTATACATATTCAGATTCAGTTTAACGAGCTGATGACGAATAACACCTTCCGAGCCTCCAAAAGTCATTTCTTCGTGGAGTAAAACTGAAATTACCAAGAAGACCTCAAAAGTACAAAAAACCGTCTTCTTTGATGAAATTGACTTTTTGTGCTAGTATTGCACGATGGAAGGTTCGAACTATATTTTTCTGAATCAGCATTAAAAACTGATTTAGAAAAAGGTTTTCAGTTCATTTCATAGGTAAACAGTCGTCCGCCACGAACGTCCGAACCAACGGCTGTCAACTGGGTATGGCTCATTTTGTAAATCTATCTAGTTTTTTGGGTGAAGGGCTATATCGATGATTCACACACCATCAGATCGGCCAACACGCCAGCTTTAAAAGTATGAAGAGCTTTTTTCAAAATTCTTTTTCCTTGCTGAGAAAGACGGCTTTTACTGAAAACCAAAGAGAATTAGAGAGAAGATCTTTGGAAAACCAGGCCGTGTGTAAAAATTTTCAATAGGATTGCATTGATTTTCTTCCATGCTATGATAGTCCAACGTAGCCTCTTCAAAACGAGAGTCAAGCGAGATCTTGGTTTTCCGCGGCTCGGGTGTTGTGTCGGATTTCTTGCGAGTCCCAGGACTGGCGCCCGGTGACTGTTGGTACCTTTGAAAACGGATGGACTATGGGTAATCGATCATGCTGAGTCTTGTGGCCATATTTGTTTCTAGAAAAAGTTCTAAAATCTATCTAGAAGCGAGTTTTATGAAACTTTGGATTTTCAGGCTGTTTTCACCTATTAATGAATTCACCTATGAATTCATTAATAGGTGAAAACAGCCTGAAAATCCAAAGTTTTGTAATGTAAAATTTGCGCTATAATTACCAATACACTGAGCAGGTGGAGTAGATGATGGCATAGCAAGTCCAGCCAATGAACTTGGATATCCAACTTCTGTGAATATAACTGGTTTCGAACTGACATTTGATGATTGATTCATATAATGAAAGAGATTCGAATAACTGGGGATGTTCATGGACAGTTCGTGGTACACACTGAATTACTAATTCATTGGCATTTATCAATCGATTTATAATGTTTTGTACCTTTATGCAGAAAGCATCTTCTGATTGATCTAGATTTGTTTCAAGTTTTCTATGGATGGAAAGTTGTAAAAA